GGCTTGTAAACTTGGATACCTTTTAAAACTTTCAGTTGTATTTTGCATCTAGGAATTAACGTACTGCCAACGGACCACGTGAACGTACTCAATCAGAATTCATTTAACAACAAAAAATAAATCTAACAGCAATCTGGTTCTTAACTGGTTACAGAATCACTGCCTTGCTCGTTCAGAGACATAAAGCAAGCAACCGGCAGTGAGTAATGCGCCAGAAAGGGGCTTCGCAGAATCCACAGGGGGCAGCTGAAAACACGGAGGTTTGAAGGTTCGTAGCTTACCAAAAGCAAAGGCAATTTTAACCAGTAGCTCTGGGAAAACTGCTGATACGTTAGGGGTCTGATATGGCTGTGAAAGATTGATGATAGTGAAAAAGAAGAACAAACACTGCCACTTTAGAGAGTTTAGCCTAGTTTAACACCTTACCTGCAATACAGCCTGGAGCCCCCAATGACCAACAAGTGAAGAATAGAAATTACAGTACGCAGTCACTGAAATCACAAAAACAACCTAGAGATTTAGACCTCATTATTACTCATAAACTGTTTTTAACAGGACATGACAGAAAAGATTCGTTATTCCGACATTCAGAAACTACTGAAGGCATTGCAACGGCTCTTTAAAACCGTGAGCAACCTCAGTACACAGCAGTATACCGCTGGCAAGCAATTACTAGATTCAGTTATATGCATGTTTTCTTTCTGGATCCTTATTTTTTCTGTTAAGTAAGATACGCATCACAACACTATAAAGGCATGTTACTTTCCAGTGATCTGAAAAAACTGAATAAGTGGGATAGCACAAGACAAAGATGCAACACATTAAGGTGGCTACGTTGTAAAAAACAAAATCTGCAACTTCAACACCGTTTACTGCATTTCCACATCTCGGATAATCTGCAAGTTTTAATGGCAATCTCCTTGAAAATGACCAAGGGTCAAATAAACTGCTTCCTCAGACCCTGCCGCTGCTCTGGAGCTCCCTTCCTTTTAAGATACTGCAGATGCGTAAAGAAACGGCATTTTTCAGAAGCTTTCTGTTTTTGCAAGGAGAGGACAGAAGCAATGGAAATGGTGGAGACAAAGAAAATATTATGGAAAAGGGTGTAAGGATGTGAACGTTCCCTGTTATTACCTGCATCCGTGTGAAACTCTCATTGCTGCTGAGGTAAAGAAAAGAGTTTGTTTGAAACCTGATAACGCATGGAGGAGTTGCATGAAACACAGTAGCTAACTAAGTACTATCAAACATTTTTTTAAACTGGGAGAAAAATCTGTCTGGTAAATGTTAATACTACTTATACAAAATAAACACCTGATGAGTCAGCCATTACATTAATAGACTAATTTTAAGAAAAAGAAAATCATGACTTAGTAAAATAGATCTCAGCTTCTTTTTTGAAAAAGCTTTAAGCACACTTTACAAAGTTTAATAAAGTGTTCCACAGTTATATAAGTGTTACATTGTCAAGTAGAACTAGACTAATTCTATTCTTTTTGTATAAGAAGCCAGGTTAAGCAATACTGAAATTCCATGCGTTACAATACAATAGCTTTCAGCGTTCAGGGATGGTGCTGAAAACCAGGAGAGTAACCTGAAGTGACTTTAAAGAACTGCAAACAAGACAAAAAAAAAAGCCCAACTTATTTAAGAAATTAAAAGTTAAGTTTTAAAGAGTGACTTAATGTCTATGAGATCACAGGAGTTTTATAAAATAGCGTTTGATACAACATGCAAGTGCTGAACAGGATGAATGTCAAAGCTAGACAAACTAGGCCACAAATAAGTCGCAGTTATGGAACACTGAGGGTAACTACCTATCAAAACAACTCCAATGACAGGGCAAATTCTCCATAATTGTAATTTTTTTTAATGTAAACATAGTAGATTTTAAGTCACAGGCTCTTCTTCAACCACAGGTACTGGACCTAAAATAAGGAACTAATCCAAAGCAGTTCTATAGCCTAGCTTACATTATGCAAATGGTCTCACTGCAGAAATCAATCCGTTGATTTCTTAGGTTGTTCTATATTGTAGCATTGTTAATAGCACAACAATTTACCTTCAGCTCTAAGACTACAGTAAGAAATCTCAGATTTTGTATGCCAAATAAAACCGTTTTAATACAGCTTCTTTGATGAACGCGATGAATCAGCTGCAGATTTCCCCTGCCGGCCTTCCTACAGACAGCAGACTATCAGAATGGTTGAGCCGAGAATATAAGTGCAGACCTTGCGCTGCTCACAGCAGCAAGGCACTGCATAACGCCACCTCAGTACTGGCTTTGAAGCCCTCTGCAGGAGTTGAGATCCGTATGTAAAAGGAAAAAGTAGAGTCAAAGAGTATTTAGGTGTATTTTTTGTGATGCGTTTTTAATCCCAACCACCTGTGCGAGTTTTATAGTTGAATCCCTCATAGCACAGCTCTTCGCTGTGAACGGGGGTTCAGTGGAAATGACAGAAGTTGTCAAAGCCACAGTAGAATCATCAAGATTCAATACAGATAGTCCTTCGCTCTCAAGCATTTTAAGGCAATTGCAGATCTGCCCCTTTGCCCAGCAAGAAGGTTTCACGTCGTGGCAGCAGCACCTGCCTCCTGGACAGCATGCAGCGCAGCCATCTAATGCAACTTTACTAGAAGTAGGAGGGGAGGGTTGGTTGGTTGGTTAAGTGGATTACTACAATAGGGACAATACTTAAATTCACTGAATTTCTAATAAAGAGGAAAAGAACGTACAGGTCTAACTCAAAGAGGAAAATCAGCTTCCTTTACCTTACGGAGACACTTAAATACAAACTATAACTATGTGTTTTGATAACAGTACCATAAGCTGGCTTCAGCATTGCCATTTCATTGAAGAGCATAAAAGCCTGGCATTCAGCCATTAAAAATAATAATAATGGGCAAAGGAATAAGAAGCCTTTTTGGATACTCTTCTTGACATACCTTTCTAATAACGTCTTCTGAAGCTAAGAAATGTGCGCAGTCTGCCTCAGATCAGCAATACAAAATGCTTCCATTTCATCTGGATTTTTGTAAGAAACATTTTCTATTTTTAAAAAGGTATATGCATCGTATTTTCGTTTGTTTTAAATGGATCAGCATCAAGTATTTTAATTTAATCACTGCTATTCATAATTAGCAGTTAGAAGCCGCAGCTAATGAAAATTTTAGTACATTTCTTTATCTCTGAAAGCCTTAATCTAGTTTGCTACTGAAATTTTTATAAAGCCTGGAAACAAATATAAATTGCTACACAGAAAATGTTTGAAATTCACTATTTTTTGCGCACCAAAGGTCTACGAATCATAAAGAGATGCAATTTGAAAGAAATTTCAGAAAAATCAACATCAGAAACTACATAGGAAATAAATATTAAAAATGGTCTCTGCCAGCCACATAATAAATCAGAGTGTCACTGTCTCTGCTGTAGCCTAAGTTAATAACAAAATCTTCTGTTTTCTAGATTCACTCCTGACCGTAGGTCTTTAATTATGAGGGAAACAGGAGAGGAGAGCAGGGAGAAAAAAAAAAAAAAAAAAAAAAAAACAACCTCCTTCCTACTCCTCTACCAAAACACAGCACCCGTCAGTCGAAACAGAGCATTTCTCTCCTCATCCACAGCCCCCGATGACTCCTGTATTTGTACAAGATGAGCTTTAAGGGGCTTTGTTTGTTTTTAACTCTAGGTCAGTCTTCAGTCCCCTTGCAACCATTCCCTGCAATAAGCCAAAATAACCCACGGTTGAAAGAGGTATTTTTCAGTCTTAACTTTCCAATTTATACATCAGAAAAATAAGTCCAGCTCTCCCCTCACCACTGACTTTTGCTTTCTCTGTGGGCTCGTACCCTATTGAAAGTAGAGATTAGGCTTCACAGGCTCCTGCAAATGCAGTGCAGGAGCAGTTCCCTCTCACCAGGCCCTCTTCACACTGCTGGTTTATGTCCTTGTTTTATTAACAAGTATGAGCAGGTCCCAAACTATGACAAATAAGAATTCTGCAGTGTCGGCAGAGGTGGCCACTGGCCTATCATGACAGCACAAACCACAGTACTTTCTCAGTTATACACTGTGCCAGACACCAGTGTAACATCTTCAGGTTTATAGTTGAACTTCCACGTAGAATCCAAGCATGTTTCTTGTCTGATCTCACCGTTTCTTCTTCTGCCTGCCTGCTTGTCTCTTTTTTTTTTTTTCCTTAATTCAAGATAGCACATCTGTGTTTGAGTTTCACCCAAGTCCTTCCATTAAGATCTTAGCAGTTCTTCTTGGTCTTGACATACACCATGATCAGTACAAAGATAAAGATTATAGAGAAAAACTGGAAGGCACAGAAGAGTGCCCAGAGGCTTTCTGGGAGGCAGGGAAGTACAGATCGTAGGTTCAGTAAAATTACCTTTCTAAAAACTGTTATTTTGGTTGTTAACACAAGTATCACCCACATCTCAGATATGTTATAAACATCGTGAACATCAGTACTAACTCCTTTTCAATAGCGTACTGATAACTGGAACAATCTAAGTAAATTTAATTAAGACATGAGGATAAATATGGCACATTTTTATCCAGGAAGTCTAACATTTCACCGCCTAATTAGAACCATCAGCATCTGAACAAACATGTTTCTCCGTGTGCCCTCCTATGGCCTTAAGAGAGGAATTTCAAGTACTAAAGATATTTTTTTAAAAGTCACAAGAATGGTTATTTTTTTGTTATACACTTTTTTCAAGCATATAAAAATAACCACAAGTCACAGACTCACAATGCCTGCCCACAGAATGGTCACTGTCATTTCTTTAATGTCTCTGAGTAGTATGTGAGTCAATTTTACCTATTAGTTATCACGCAAGGGTCCTCTGTCTGCCTCAATATACTTTACAAGTGACAGAAGTCAGTCCTAGACGTTATCATCAATGGCCCTAGTCTTGAGGGGTCTCAAAGATAAATTCACATCCTTTGCATTCAGTGATCAGGCTTGAATTCAGCAACAAATGAAAACAGTAATTTCAGGAAAAAAAAGTGTTGTTTTCATAACTAAAAAAAACTACATCATCCTACTATAAACACTAAACCTTGTATTTCTCTTTAAAGCAGATATTACTTTAGTTACAAGGATTTTATCTTTTATTTCCACAGTTTGTCAGTTCTCAGATATTTTAAGTTTAAATGCAGAGAGATACCTTCTTTCTTTTCTTGGGAGGCGTCTTCATCATTCTAGATTCCAAAAGTTCTCAGATGATACTCAAAAGCTAACAGTTATGTGAAAATGTTTTTGGAAAAGACTTTATGTGGTAGCAAAAAATAACGCATTTTGGAACTTTTTGTCTCTTGTGTGTGTGTATGTATGTATGTATGTATACACATATATATATATGTACATACATAAATGCCTTTACAGCCCATAAAGCCTAATTCTGATCTCTCCTCAACCTATCTATCTCATAGAGAGAAACTTCACCTTAATATATTTGTAAGGAATGACTGCAACGATTCTATACAATTGCAGTAAAATAACTGTGCGATTCTTTTACACTTTCAATCTCCTGTTTACTGGGAGCGGGGGGGGGGCCACAATGGCATAGACAAAGCTCCCAAGCTAATTAATAACTATTCAATCAAATTTGTCCTGTCATTTTGAGGCTAATCTATTAGATACTTTTCTTTTTTTAAAGTAGGAAAGCTTCTCCTTTAGTTCTTTCAAATCACATCACCAACCATACACAGGCACATGAAATGACTATATTCTTTCCAATATTGATTAAATTTTAAAGGCTAAAAAAAGTGAATAACTTTTTCCTAGTATTTCAAGAAAATGCTACTGCATTAAAGACTTCTTCTGAGCAGGCACTGTACATTAAATAATTCAAACAAACAAAAACAAACTCTACTTCTAAAAGCAACACCACTTCAGCATTAGAGCTTTTTGTATTTGTCCATGGTGCTGATCATTCTATTTTAAAAAAAGCTTTAGCTGGGCATAAGGTTTGTTTGTTTTGAAATGAACGGGCACAATGTTACCAGCATGTGAAATCTGCATCCCTCCCACCCCCAACACTCACTTACCTAAAGAATGCGCAGCTGTGGTTTTGGAGCTGAAAAATCGTCCAAGTCCAAGATCTCCAAGCTTTACCACCCCTGTAGCTGTAATGAACACATTAGCTGGCTTTATATCTGGGGAGAAAAAAAAAAAAATCCTTACAACGAGATTGCAAGAAAAGCTACCATTTTATCAATAACACACAGAAAGAGGTTTTAATTATGGATAATGTTAATGATACCTGACAGTGCTGTTCAGATAGTGAATCTGGGGTTCAAAATTTCAAACTATTTTAATAGTACAAAGCACTCAAGCAACCTGAACAGCAAAAATAAAGAGCCATGAAAAGTTAAAAAAAAAAAAAAAAAAAACACACACCCACCCACACATACACAAGGAGTTCATTACTACTTTATGAACTATACTTAAGTACTCACACTAGAACTAGAAAACCTTTCATTAAGTAACAGACCAAAAAATGTACAGTAAATCCTATTTTTCATCACTTCCAATGGCATAGGTAACTGATTCTCTTCAATTTCAGGCATTTAAAAAAAAAAAAAAAAAAGAGGTAAGTCTTACTCAGGAGAACAGCTATCTGAACTCATCAGAACTGGAATTCAATTAGAAACAAAGAAAAATAATGATGTTTACCCCAGACAGTTATTTTTCACAAGTAATATTCAATTTAAGTTTTAATTCAATCCTTTAGAGACAAAAGCAAAGATTTTTATTTTATCATTTTTAACAAGGTACCTGTTAGTCTTCAAAATAAACTGACCCAATTTTTATGAGGCAAGTGTCCTTAGCTCTTACTGAGCTCAGGAGCAACACATCGTGGCTCAGAACTTCAAAGAAGAGTCACATAAGTTTGAGGAGAGAGATTACAGTTTGCATAAGGCATGGGTATGCTGAAAGGAATGGTTAAAAATCTTTTGAATGCCAGCATTTTCCGGTTTCCAAAGTAACACTTAAACGGGGTTGTGGGGGGGGGGGGAAATGGGGGGGGGGAATAGGGAAGGAGGACTTGCAAGCTCTAGAGATGAGGATAGAAGCAATTTTTTTCATCCTGCTACCTAACCTAGTTTAAGAGTTTGGATCACTCTTTGCCTAACTATCCAACACAGCTACCACCTCAACTTAAACATCTAGTTTTAATTGTCACTGTTTTTTGTGTGTAACCATACAGTTGTTAGATTTGCCAGAAACTTTGAAAGCAGTATTTCAATTTAACGAGTTCATTTGTTTATTCTGGTTCAATTTAAACTAGTTTAAATGAAAACTACTTTAGGAAGATATCTGCATCTTATGGAAAGAATTTGTAATTTAATATCTTTTTCTCTGTGTTATTTGTATTCACAGACACCTACACAAACGTGTAGGCAAAAGAGGAGACTCACAAGGGAGAGGCCTCTGCAGGGGCAGGTGCATCTAGGTTTATGTGCCCAAGGGTGCAACATCTCTAGCTGTCAATGACAGGGCACTGCAGAGATCGAGGGACTTTTGCTTTTAAGCAGCTATTTGCATCCCAGCAGAAGGAAGCTGCATACTTAAGGATGCAATTCCACGTGAACCCAGGGAGACAAGACAGCCCACATACAACTTGTAGCCAGAGGGATTTCCAAGGAGGGGGGGGGGAGGGGGGAGAGAGAGAGAAAGAGAAAAAAGCATACATAGGAGAAGCAGCTATATTACAATCTGTATTCTTTAACTCAGAGTTACAAGGTAAAATGAAGACAATGTATGGTGGAGACAGCAGTAAAAAGGGTTACAACGGGTAAGAGAGGTTTTTAGTACATGAGGGGCATAGCTAGCAACTGCATGGGTGGTTGTGACAATAAAGGACCAGGGATCGGAAACAGTGTAGCGGAGCAGAGAAGGGGAAAGAAGGCTCACACCTGCGCATAAACCAGCAGAGAAGGGAGAAAAGCCTATACATCACTGGAGGGATGCACGGCAGGAGGCCAATACTTTTGAAAGGAGAAAAGGTTCAAGAGGTGATGAGAACGGACGAAAAGCAGTGACAGAACGCAGGTAACAGTACTGGGGGAGAAAACAGGTAAAGACAGGAGAATAAAAACAAAGATGAAAAATAAGAGCCTGCAAAATGAACTGAGCAAGCAAAGAGGCGGCGGCAGCAGCAGCAGCCTCCATCACCTGTAGAACTATCACTTATTTTGAAAACTAGGTACCACAAGTCATTACAGTAAACAAACACCTACCACAGTAAAGTAAATCTACAAGCACAAACTTCTGTCACACTTCCATATTACTTATAAGACATTACAGAAACATACATTGTGTTAGCTATCTGTCAAAACTGATTCCGTTACAATTATTTGGTGTCATTTGCAATGAATCAGCTTAATTCTCACAAAGTAAAAAGTTTATTCAAAGACAAACAGTCTCTGACCCTGCATTACCTCTATGCATGACACGACGAGAATGCATATGTTCCAGTGCGCTGCAAAGTTGAACAAAGTACTTCCAAACTGTTCTTTCAGGTATCAACCTCTTCTGTTTCTTAAAATGCTTAAAGAAAAAAAGGATGGATGCTAAGTACTAAAGTTTAAAACTTGCATAAAATGACTGGAAAAGAAACAGAAAACCCTTTAATTAAAAACTTGATACAAAAACCTCACAACCTAAGGAGAAAGGTTTAAGGAAAATTTCCTGACACAAAAAGCTTTTCCCTTAAATATTAAAACATACCTCATTAGTGTGTGCATTTACCAAAAAGTCAACATATATAGCTAAAATTGACATTAATGAAATGAAACTGCTATCCTAGAACGGTTTAATACAGTATTTAACAATCCTCAAAGCAGGATTAATGTGGTCAGAACAGCCTAGCATAGAATCAGTGTGCCATCAAACAAATGCAGGCCAGATACAAAAGGTAGCTACCACAGTGTCCCGAATGAAAAATTTCTTTACATCAATATTAATTTCCATATCCTCCTCTTCAAAATAGAAGAACACAAATAGTAGCAGTACACATTCACATACAAAGATCATACAAGACAAATAGATTGGATTAGTCTTAAACCTCTTCAAATACATAAAACTGGAATAAAAGAATCATCTATTTTTGAAAATTTCTTAGTGATCTATCTCCTGCTGTTCAAGTATTTTCCATCCCGTTTAAACAATATAAACGGCTATTACTCATCACTGTTAACAGTTTATGTTAGAGCTTATGTGAAACATAACTACGCTCCGCTACGCACATTTCCTTCAAATAGTCTATTCAGGCATTTGAACAATACAGTTCTCCAAAAAAAAAATACGTACTGAAAATCTGGAATTTAGCCGACTCTAAAACATACAAGTTTGATCACTACAAATCTTGCAGCTAAAGATGAGAAGACTGAAAGATTTCAGCTCAAAGGTCTGTTGTTGTTCTTGAAAGAATTCTTATTTTAACAGATTTTAAGAAGTTAAACAGATGAAGAAAGTGTATGAACAACATTAATACTAGCACAATGATTAGCTGTAAAGCAATTTACTTAGAACTACTTTAATGGTATATATATGCACCCGAAGATCATCTAACAAACATTTACCACTCTGGAAAAATAAAAATAGTTTCATATACTATCTTAAAACATGCCACCAAAGTTGACAAGAGACATGCAGAGTATGAGAAAGATGTTTTTAAATTGGCTATGGTAAAATGCATCAGTTATACAAAGGATCATAAAATTTCACCAAAATGTTTTCAGTTACAGGGATTATTTCAAAATGCCTTTTTATTTTAATGAAGCAAAACATGTAAGTCACTTATTTAAATATATCTTTTCCTCAGTCTTGGACTGAATCCAAACAAACCCCATGTATCTGCTCTCCCCACAGCTGGATTTGCATATCAGAGGATTGTTTGATGTCAACAGGAAGATGGAGACCAGGTTTCTTTTCATTTTAAAACAAATACACAATACATTGCAAGTATGTGTACATGAAAGCATAGTTCCTTGATTTAAAATAAGTTCTGAAATTATCATAATTATAACTATGTACTTCATTTAAGCATTCTAAAGGGTTTTTTTAAAATGCAAATTTAAGTACAAGCGCTGATGAAACACTGTTCACAAAATGGCTTAAACAAAAATTTTCCATTACAAACATTAAAAGTACAATGTGGGTTTTTAAGTTTAAATATTCTTTCAATATTTTTTTCATTTGCCATCTACAATACCAGAGCAGACCGTACACTACAAGATCTGTTTTGGTTCTTACAGCGTAAGCATGCCATACAACAGTACTGAAGATGCAGTCTCATTCTACCAAAGGCATTAAAAATTGTATGTGATAGTAGTAACTTTTCTTCCTGAAAGCACCAATAATATTAATTTATTAACCCTACAGACTTTGAGTATTTTTCCAACTAAAAAGGCAGGTAAAGAGAGTTTTTAAGATAGCTGCTAACTATGTTTAAACTTAACAAAGCAGCAGGCAACATTTTCACTGGTTAAATTTAAAAATAATCCAATACTTCAAAATAACTACATAAAACAATATTCATCAAGTTTAATTTAACTGCCTATTTTCATCAAAATATATATTCTTCATCTCTTCTTGGGCTGCTGTCCACTAACAAGCAAAACAGCGATGAAAATCATCAGCTAGCAAAAAGATTGATTTTGTAAGGAATTAAGCATCCAAACAAGCTGTATGTATCTCTGAAAAAGCCCAGTATGCAGTCTGAGTTCTGGGAAAGGTCAAAAATGAAAAGGATTCATATTTTTTAATCAGAATCCTACCTTCTATCTAGAAATATAAGTTGAAGTAAAACATGATCAAGTTTTAACCTGTTTTATGCCCAAGAGAATCACTAAATTCATGCAGCATACTTTTAACTGTACTCAAGTAGGGATCCTTTTCTCTCTCTCCTTTATTTTAAAATACTCCACAGTGAAAAATGCAGCTGTTGTAATGTTAGCAGATTTGCCATTTTCTATAGGAAATTCGAAACACAGAAGATACAGAGGCCAAGAGAATGTTTCAACCCTCTATTGTAGCAGAGGGCAACATAACACCAGAAGTTTTGTGTTGAAACTAGTTCACCGGCTAGTGAACGACTTTCTTAAGCAGTCTAAGATCCACATTCACAAGTTTAATGTTAAACAGTTTTCCTTTATTGTATCCAAGTTACCATTACCAGCCTAAATTCAACCTCAAAGGAATACATCCTGAGGTATAGCTTTCTAAAGTACTCACGTTCAACCTTTTACTATTCTTCTGCTACTTCTTCCATATGTCTGAGGCTCAAAAGATAGCCTTGATGTCCCCTAGACCACGGTCTAGACAGCGATTAAAAAAAATAATAATAAGAAAAAAAACAAACACACACCACACACACACACACTCACAAAATCACCACCACAAAAAACCCACAACACCTCACTCATCCTATTTGGAGTAAAAGATCAGTCCCAGCACTGGTGAAACAGCACAAAAAGGGAACTGCTTGTACATGTGCATTAAAAATCTAGGCACTGTTACAAGCTATTATTTCATCCATTGTCTTGGGTAGAGAGAATACCAGGCACACTCAAGCAGCAGACTGTCTCCCAGCAAGGATTATTTGTTTAAAGACCCACATCCCATGAAATTTCCATCTATATCTTTGAGAATGGAATCACATAAAAACTACTCTGAAGTTTTCAGAACGTCAGTACAGTTTAAACTGCAATTCATTCATTTAATATAGATCAAAAATTTTCTCGTCATAAGTTGGCTATTCAAATGCCTTAACGAGCTTTAAAGGAGGCAGGTTATACCACTACGCAGGATGTATTAACAGTTTGTCTTTCCCTCCCTTTTAAGGGATGACCGAGCAGTTTCGTTATGAGAAAACGCAACTCTTCTGTTCCCTAATGAACAGCTAAAAGTATTCTGCAAATCGTTCTGTCCTAATAAAGTTAAATCTAGCTGCCTTACATATAAACAGCATATGCCATTCAGTTTCCTGGAGATGGAAAAAATTTAAGTGGAAGACGGATGGACAAAAAAAAAAGTCTGAAGTCTTTATGAAAGCATGAAATTACATTATACTGAGATGCTAGAGATGATGCTTTAAAGGTCAGATTCTGAAAGCAATAGTGACAGCAATTAGCAAATGGTCTTATCTAGGCTTAACAAGGACAGTTTGGAGAATAATTTTAAAAGACATCTTCAGAGTATGTTTGGCTTTCATAAGAAAGCTGGGGATTTCCTGCAGATGAGTGAAGAACAGTGAGCACAGACGATTTCGGTACCAAGTGGAGACTTCTGCTATGACTGTTTACATCTCAGTAACTACTGCAGTTGTCTAGCCTTCTTTTGAGAAAAGTTTAGCATTCAATTCTGATGTTACTCTCATGGAGAACTGTAAGGTGTCGTTTAGGATGGTTCAGACCTTACTACCCAAGCAGGGGTGGGGGAAGAGGGAATGAAAAACTTGGAGCAGTCAAGAACCAGACTAGACTAACCCATTATCTAACTTGGATCACCAAATTAAACACTGGATTTTAATAAAGGAGAACCTATCTAGACAAATCTACCTAGACTTCAGTAAAAACATACTGTACGGTGCTGTAAAGGAAATGTAATTACTGTCAAATTGATAAATGAATTGCAGTACCTCTAAGGAAAATAAGGTGAAGCACTGTAATGGCAACTACTCACTGAAGGATATTATAGAGGGAGTTCCTGAAGCCTTGTGAACCAGGATAAAAATCTTTCTCACCAGGTTAACAAAGGAAGTCAATAGCTTTCACCTTGCTCTTCTTACAATAGAGTTCATCACTTTCTTCAGCAAAGAAAACAAGAGGTTTAGGTAAATATCCTGCAGAAAGATGATAAACTGATAATCTAAACTCGGTTTGCAGAATCAGTGGGTTTAAAAAAAAAAAAAAAAAAGTATTTGCTCCTAAGATGACTGTCAAATGAGCCCACAAGAAGCACTTTCATCACCTGAATGTTTTTTCCTATGTATTTTCTAGGCTAGAGTTTCCTTCTGAAAAAAGACACCATGGAAAAGTAAAATGAAGATGAGCGAGGATGATCCTTTCCTTGGTTTAAAGAAATTCTGCTAATATTTTTCTTTCTTATACATTGTGATGAGGATCCTGAGAGCAACCGAAAGCATCGTCTCTCATGACTTCACTTCTGGTCCACTAAAATATTATTTTTTGGTATTTTATTAAATAGACTTATCAGAGAACAGTGAATTAAGAACCAGATACTTGCTACAGGAAATTTGGACTTCATCAAGAGGAAAAGGATGCAGAATTATAAGGAAACTGAGTAACATGTAATGAAGTTCTTAGCAACTTCTGTTTGCGGTTTTTTTAGATTCTTTAATATGGAATCGCAGAAAGGAACCTCAAGAGGAAGCAAAGGTCAGGTAGCTGCAATAGGAAATCATGAAAGTCTAGGCAAGAGTTTTAACTGTGTGAATACAAAGGCAGGGGAACCCACAGGACCAGCAAGAGAGTGCAGGGTCAAAAAGATACATGAGTGGAGCCTGATCCCACTGTCTATACAAG